GGAGGAAATTATATGTAGTTCCTTGTAATCGGTGCCCCCTTTCCATCCCACCCTCCCTCCACCCTCCCAGTATCGCCACTCACACCACTGGTCCTGAAGGGATCATCCGGCAAATAAAACTTTTATGAGTGAAAGCAAAGTTTTGATAGCGAGTTCTCACAGACAAGAATAAACCATCTCCAGAAAGAGTGGAGAGACACATGGTCCTACTGCTCTTAACCCCTCATCCCCTTCCTCCCATATCCTCTTGGATGTGGCAATGGCTCAAGTGTGCCTGTGAGACTGTAACTATTTATGGGTCAAAAGTTTCATCTTTCTCTCATGGGGGGACTGGGGATTTCAAACTGCTAACCTGTGGTTAGCTGCTCAACTGGCAAACCACTACACCACCAGTCTAAGGTCATACAATTGGTAAAGTGATAATGAAAGACAATTTGGTTATTGTAGAATTTAAAAGTAAAAGAAGGGATGTCTTTTAAAGCTATTGTTATCTCTAATAAAGTTTCTGTTCACGAATGGCTCTAACATTTCCTTTAAAGATCTATTCTTCAATGATTGAATTGCTTCAGTAGGTCAATGCTAAAGAAACATACCATTCATAGGGCTTCTTGGAGAAGAGAACTTAAAGTAGACCTTCATGGGTCTATTTGTATCACATCACTTGCTTTATGACATACAACGTCTAGTAATTTATCTCACTTTGCTTTCACAACATTTTAAAACTGGCTACTTCCTCCAATTGTATAAAAGAAACCCTGTCCACTATGAACAGGTTATTGCTTTTCTGTAAAGATCATTTGAGGGAGTTATCCATTATATTTGAAAATTTGAGCCTTGATGTACTTAGATTATTGTTCCAACCTGGCTGATAAACACATGTGGGGTTAATTGAAGGGCCGGGATATAAATGGCTTGGTGAGCCTCCCCTTTCTAGTTCTCAGCTCTCTTGCTTTGTGATGGTCGGACCAGGGTGCAGCTGCCTTAGCTAGTGCTCTGCTTCAGCTGGCAAAGCTCACTTCCTGCAAGACATCCCCAAGGAGAAGCCACATGGACCTACCCCGATGCAGCCCTGGGTGCTGGAGCAGCCTTGTGGAGACCCCTGCCAGCACTGAGATGCTTACACACTCACTGATTAGGCTTTCCTCCTGTGGTTGGCATCATCGCATGTGTTTTGTGAGATGGAGGAGGACTTTGTGGATTGGTGTTGGACAAATGGGTTAATGTTGGACTTGTGGGCTTGGGCAGCACTAGGTTGGGATGTTTTCTTGATGTGCACTTACCTTTTATATAAAACTCAATCTTATACATAAGAGTTTCTGTGGATGTGTTTCTCCACTGTATCCAAACTAACACATGCCTCTTGCCAATGCCCTTTTGGGTGTTTTTGACTTTGAGGGCCAGGAAACCTCAATTTACTGTGTTCCAAGGTTCTGTTACTTTGGTCTCTGTTAAGTGACTGAGCCAATCTGATAAAATAATTTAAGCTCTGTATCTGGCTGATAATGGCCCTGCATGATTCAGATAAGATGTATGCTACAACAGAAGCTTTTACGTAAGGAATTTAGGGTGCCTTGAAAGAGCCCCTAAAGAGGTGAGAACATGGGAAGGGAGTTGTAAAATAAAGCAACGGTGAACAAGGAGCAATAATAAAAACATATGCAAAGCTGCCGCTTATGAAATTCTTGATCTGTGTCAGAAAGGAAAGTTCTGAATGAGATCTCCTTAAATGTTCCTTGTGAGTCACAGAAGATCAGACTTACTTTGTTTTCCATTTCATTCCTATATTTAAATGCAACCTGAGGACAAGCTTGGGGGGTACGGGGGTTCATAACCTGTGGCTTGATATTTCCGCAAGGGGCTGTTGAGTTTAGATGGAAAGGGAGCCTCACCTTCCAGCGGGTCCGAATTGTCGTGACATCAGCAGGATCCATGAGTCGGACTGACTTGACTAACAACAACAGCAACCAATGTGTCTTCCCGAAGCCAGAAGCAGCCCCCTCATCCCTTCATCAATGAACCAACGCTTGAACCAAATGTGTCTTGAGCTTTTTCAAAATTCCAGACAGTGAGAAAGACTTGTCCAAAACAAGACCAAGTCCTTGTCTGAAAGAGAGGGTTATTCTGGCTCAGTTCCAGTTTGCTTAGACACGAAAGATATTGATTTTTGCCCATGAGCACCTGCGCTATGAGCCCCTCTTTGCCAGGAGAGAGCAGACTCAAGGGCATGGAAAATAATGCTAGTTCAATGACAGGGCTCAGGCCTACAGCCACGATTTAATCAGGACATAACCCTCTGGCCACCTCTCAGTAGCCACAAGTTCAGGATGTTGGCACAGAAATAGGTGGTGTCCATCTGGGCTGGTGATAGCACATGATCGTCCCTGAACATGTGATGAAGCAGGCGCCCAGAGCAGCCCCCAAACAGCAGGCTCTGTGGCCTTTTTTTGCTGCTGGGTAAATTTCCACTGCCATCACATAAGGAGTGGAGGGAGTAACGCCTCCAAAGGTTGTACCCCAGGACCCCAATCCTTTCTCCTTCACTTCTCCAGTCACACCCCTCCCCCGACAGCTGCTTCAGAACAAAGAGACACTCTAGCGCAGCAGGTAAAGCTCTCGGGATACAAACTCTATCTGGGTGAATAATTAAAAGTACAATTTTATTGCTTTGGCCTAGCATTTGCTGACACATACAGCAAGTCTTTATTGTCATCTCCATCCTGCTTCCCGGTTTTAGCTTTTGTTCTCCCTCCACCCAACCATCATTCTAGAGTTATTTTCTTTGCTTCTCTGGGTCAATGGAGAGACAATGTTCTTTCTGTCTTGCCCTCAGGTCGGCAGCTCATTTTGAAGCTAAAGTTATCACCCTAACTGCTGAATTTCATCGTGCTGTGTCCATAACTGATACCCCCAGATTTCCCTGGCCGTATTGATAAATGGGACAGGTAGGAGAAAACTTTAGAGGCCTGGCAAGAGTAGCAAGAGTCAACTGTTGATTAAATGAAAACATATCCCTGTCAAAGAGAGGCGGCCCCTCTCCATGACATTGCCCTGGCCACCTTCCATCGGAACTGTTTCTTCACTGAGGAATATTGTCAAACTGGCCCGCATAGATGGACACGTTAGGGACAAGACTAGTGAGGGTCTGGATCTGTATAAGCAATTGTTTTAACAATGTGCACCGAGGACCTCTAAAACAACAACCATTTTGAGTGCTTAATGTGTTTACATCATTATGCTAAACCCTTTATATGGAGTGGCTATGCGTTGGGCTGAGATCCATCTGCACGGTCAGCAGTTCAAAACCACCAGCAGCTCCTCAGGATAATTCCTGGGCTTTCTACGCCTATAATGTTGGTTTCTGAAACCCACAGGAAGTGGATATGAATCAACATGGACCCCATGGCAGTGGGAGAGCACATTGTATTTTCACAAGGACTGTAGTAGATAGAAATGGCTTGAATTTCCATCAAAAGGTAAAGGACATAAGATGATGGAAATTACTTGTCTAGCCAAGGTCATAGACCCTGCCTGCACCTGAGCTAAGATTTGAACCCAAATCATCTGACTCTCCACTCTCTCTCGACTTAATACCAGGTCCCAGCTCACGTGCTTTGCTCCAGAGTTACAAAAAGTATGAATGAACAGTAAACATCGAGTGTCTGTTCTTATGGCGTTTACATTCCAGTGGCAGAGGTAAACACACGAATACTTGCCACACATTATGATAAAGTCCATGAACAACTCAGGACTTGTTCCTGTAATAGCTTGGTCTATTTTCTTCCTGGCTCTCCCCCCTTTTAGCTATTCTGTAAATGAACTTCAAATTAACCTTCCTAAGGAAGTGCATCTCCATACTTTGGAGACTCGGAGAGCCTAAACTCTCATCAACTGGACATGTTTATAGGGCAGGGGAAAAAAGGGATGTTTGCCTTAGAAAAGTGACTATTCCAGGGAAACAAAGCCGTTGCTTTTCTCTACCAAGGGGACTCTCTTATGGAGCGCATGTAGCCAATGGCCCAAGACCTCTTATCTCTAACATTTTTTCACAAGTCTGTGTCCTAGAGGACTGCCACGTTCCAGGAACTGTTTTTGGTGCTGGAGATACTAAAGGGAATAATAAAAACACCAAGACTCTTGAAAGAAAGCCCAAGAGTTACTAAAGTGTTGAACTAATGGATTTTTCAAATACTACTGAAAGATCGAGGCTCTCTTTGAGAGAAGGAAGGAGGGAGAAGCTGTGGGCTCACAGCATCATGAAACCATGAAGAGGAAGGTAGATACTACTAGATCCGGACCACATCAAAGGGCCACATTTTCTTATTGCCAATTATTATTTTCAGACGAGTCTAGTTGTTTCCTGATCTAATGGCTGGATTCCATGATTATGTATATAGGAAGCAATTTAAGATTTTAGCTTTTTTCCCCTGCTGCAATATATATTAAACACCATTTGCCATTTTAACTTTTTTTATGTGTATGATTATTTCAGTGACACCAATTACATGAATCAGGTGGCACAACCACCACCAAAATCCATTGCCACAAACTGAAACATAATGCTTCCTTAATAATGGGTGCAATTCTCTCTTCTCCCCTCCCTCCTACTTCTGCTTATCATTGTTGTTGAGTGTAGTGGATTCCAACTTATAATGATGCCCTGTGACAGAGGACAAGTGTCCCATTTCATTTTGTCAACATTATTCAAATTTTCTGTCCATACATTTGCCTAATCTAGGTGTTCTATAATTCAGTGACCACATGCAAAAGAAGTCAAATGACTACTTCAAACTATACGCAAAAACTACCTCAAAATTGCTCAAAGACCAAAAACCCCTTAGAAGAAATCAGTCTTCAGCGTCGGATTCTTGGTTATAAAACAAAAGAACAGCTAGCTGCCAGCTTGCGTCCCCGCTTGTGTGCGCCTAATCTCAGCTGGTCTGCTAAAGACCCCCTGAGCGCCAGCCCTAGTCCCCGCGTGGCCCCATTTCTGCTCCGACAAGATGAAAGAGAAGATCATGAATCAAGAGAAACTCGCCAAACTGCAGGCACGAGTGCGCAATGGTGGGAAAGGAAATGCCCGCAGAAAGAAGAAGGTGGTTCACAGAACAGCCACAGCAGATGACAAAAAACTGCAGTTCTCCTTAAAGAAGCTAGGGGTAAACAATGTCTCTGGTATTGAAGAGGTGAATATGTTGACAAACCAGGGAACAGTGATCCACTTTAAGAACCCTAAAGTTCAAGCACCACAGGCTGCGAACACCTTCACCGTCACTGGCCATGCTGAGACAAAGCAGCTGACAGAGATGCTCCCCAGCATCTTGAACCAGGTGGGCGCAGATAGCCTGCGCACCTTAAGGAGACTGGCTGAAGCACTGCCAAAACGATTTGTGGATGGACAGGCCCCACTTGCTACAGGAGGGGATGAGGAGGATGAGGTTCCAGATCGTGTGGAGAACTTGGATGAGGCATCCAAGAATGAGGCTCACTGATTTGAGTCGGCTTCTGGGGAAGATGAACTTGAGGAAGTGACTTGGAGCTGCTGTTTTCTATGATGACTGCTTTTTAAATTTGTTTTGTGTATGGATCTGATAAAATCTAGATCTCTAATATTTTTAAGCCCAAGCCTTTCGGACTTTGCAGCTCTTTTACGTTTTTGCTTCTACATGATTCATTCTTTGCAGCAAGATACGCTGAAGAAGCCTGGGAATAAAATTTGAAACAGGTTAACAAAATTCTTTGCCTAGTAAAAAAAATACAGAAAAAAAAAAAAAAAAAAACAACCCAAAAGAACATGTGAGGAAAGAGAAAATCGACGAGTGGAGTCCCATCAAAATTTAAAAAATCTGTGTATCAAATGGCCTTATTAATAAGACACATATTGTTTACACAGACTATTTTAGAGCAATTTTAGGTTTACAGAAAATTGAGCAGAGTCCCCTTATATTCTCTTTCCTCCAACCATATTAAGCATAGTTATTTTAAATTATCAATCTGATAATTCCAAAACCACCCACAGCCATCAAGTTGATTCCAACTCACAGTGACCCTATGGGACAGAGTGCACTGCCCCTCATATTTCTTAGACTGTATGTTCTTTAGAAGGGCAGGCAGCCTCATCTCTCTTCCATACCAAGGTTGGTTGGTGGGTTCAAACTGCTGACTTCGCAGGTAGCAGCCCAATGTGTACACGATGTGCTCCCCCACGTGGAGTTCTTGGACCCTCCACAGCTTCCTCTATTATTCCCACCTTCTTTTATTGTGGTACATTTGCTACAATCGCAATGTTGACACATTATTATCAACTTAATTCCACAATTTACATTGTGGCTCAATCTGGGTATTGTACAATTCTATGAATTTTGACATATGTATTCTTGGATATAATGTTCTGTTTCTGAAATAGTTTCTTTCTTTGATTTCTAGTTTGCTAACTAAGTGTCTATGGATCTGTCAGCTCATGATCTGTACCCCGACCATACTCACTCTAGCATGAGATCATCAAGGACATCCTTCATTTCTGTCACGTTTTTTTAATTTTTAGAATTTCCTGGTGCTTAGCATTTAAATTTTTCTGCTCACATTGCCCACCTATTCTTGGATGCCGTCCGCTTTTCCATGAGGACATTTGAGATGCTGTTGATGCGGTTGCTTTAGGTGCTTGTCACATGGGCACACTACCGTGCTTTGTATGCTACTGAGATGCTAGAAGCTATGTCATGGGTGTTTTAAATAGTCAGCATATTAGGCATAGTTGTTTTGAACTATCAATCTGATAATTCCAAAATCTTGCCATATTTCAGTCTGATCCTGATGCTGTCTTTGTCTCTTCAAGTGTTTTTTTTTTCTTTTAGCATTGCTTTTAATTTTTATTTTCAAGTCAGACATCATTTATCGAGGGAAAGGAATTGTGGTAAGTAGTGTCAAGTTTTATGTTTACATGACTAAGTGTCGAATGGTGTTTCTCCTTTGCTGTAGCCGGGGTGTCAGAGGTTCAAATCTCCTCTCATTCGTTTGTGTTAATCTTTGTGTTATCTTTAAATTTCCCTAGAAGCTCCTTCTTAAATAGAATCTGATTTTTGAAGTCATTTTAGCTATTGTTAGATACAAATCTACGATTATAGGAGTCTGACTGACGTGGTTCTAAACTTTGAGGGGAGGGGAAACATTCTGTAATTTCTAGGATTAAACCTCAATCTTTTAGTGAGCCTATGTCCCTGGGCTATGACCTTCAAAAGTCCTTCTTGGCTTCTAGGTTCCCCTTTTAGGTAATGCAGGAAGGCTAGAGGAGACTGGTGTTGGGTTTTCTGCTCCTCAAATCAATTAGACTCTGGGAAAACTCATCTAGGCTTAGGCTTTGGTCAAACAATTTCTTTGAGAGAAGCCCTTTATTAAGAAGAACAGAATGCTCTGCTCATATTTCCAGATGTTACACTTCACTTGCCACGCGGGAGGGGATTATTCTCTGAGAACTGGGTGGGGCTTATGGACGTAACACTCACCTAAGTGTGCAAATACCTCTAAGACTGAGCCTCCAGGGTTGTTAACGTTCTAACTAGTCTACACCGAGCCTCCAGCAATTATACAATTTAGAGTTTAAGTGTTGGCACCAGTAAGGACTCCATGGGCAGGTTGCTACTCTTGGTTTTCTGTTCTGAGTAAAACGTGCGCCTTGCTATCTGACTCTGCAGTTTGGGGGGCGGCTCAGCTCTCTCGGGGATCTAAAAGGAGTTGGTCGTTTTCAGTTTATTCCACTTTTCTCTTGAGGGAATGAGGATGGTGACTCCCAAACGCTCTCTGTTGGACTTGGAGACTCACATTACTTTTAATGCTGGTGAGTCAGTGAGGTGGAAAGTTCTGGTTTGGAAGCCAGTTACTGCAGGATCCAAATCCTGACTCAGTTGACAAGTAGTTGTTTGATCTTGGGCAAGATCCCTGCACTTTCTGAGCAGATTTTTTCCTTATCCACAACTGCTTCAAAGATTGAGCTTAAGTGATAGAGGATATGATAAATGTCGCCATATGTAGAAAAATCAAGTAATTGTTAGATCATTTCACTTTTTTATTCAGTCTTACAGGGGCTTGAATGGGGAAGTCATGTTGAAAACGGTGAAGTAAAACATAAAAGAATAAGACCAGAAAGTGTGCATTCCTTGAATACTGATTATAAATGACAGAAATTTAAACCAAACTCGATTTCAAAAAATAATGAAATAATGCAATTGTTCATATACATGGGGGGGGGGGGGGTGTATCAGCATGAGGTAAGGTTGGATTTAGGCACTTAAATGAAAACATTAGGAGTCTTTCATTGAATTTATTCACTGTTATTCTACTGTATCATCCCCAGCCCCCTCCCCAACCCCCAAGGTAAACACTCTCTGGTTCGCAGTAAAAATGGTCTGGCCTCACTGGGCTTACATGGTCTGTCCTCATCGCTGTCCAAGTCCATTCTGATTTGTATTGATTCCACATGTTTCAGAGTAGAACTGAGCTCCTGTGGTTGTGTTTTTTTAAAAGTGGATCATACCACTGGGTGGATTCATCCTATCCACCTTTTAATTAGGATTTAAGAACAATCTGTTTATACTACCTAGAACTCTAGTGGTGTAGGGGTTGTGCAGTGGGTTGATAACCACAAGGTTGGTCGTTTGACACTCCCAGCTCTACTGCGTGGGCCACAGGAGATTTGCTGCTCCTGTAAGAGTTACCATCTCAGAAACGTACAGGAGCAGTTCCACCCTGTCCTATAGAAATCACCTCTGTGTCAATGAGTGATGGTAAACACACGTTTCAAGTGGCTGCAATTTTGAAATAGAGAAGCCCAGGACTCACATAAATTCCTGAAAACCCTATCCCTTTTTCGGTCATATGACCATCTCTTAATTAATTATCAGGCTAGAGATTTGGGTCGATAGATAACTATGGTAGATCAACTTGGACAGCTTGCCCAGCATGGTGGTGAGACTTCATCTTTTCCAATATTCCCAGATGCAAAGGATACATGTTGCCAGCCAATAAATTCCATTCCTTAGTGGAATGGAATTTGAGGTTGTAGGGTATGTATTAGGTGCTAACCACAAGGTCAGTAGTTCAAACCCATCAGCAACTCTGTCGGAGAAAGATGAGTCTGTTTGCTCCTGTAAAGATTTACAGACCTCAAATTCTATATAGGCTATCAGTAATACAAATTAATGGCAATTTTTTCCTTTCCTCTTGGTTTTAATTTCTAGAAAAGCAAAATAGTATTCCCAAAGAACAAGCTTTCATGAAGGAAAACAACAACAACAAAAATAATGTATGTAACTAGAAATGAGATGTAAATTCAAAATATGCAATAAAGTAGCTGATACTTATTGAGATAAAAGTCAATAAGGATACTGTTTTTTTTTTAGCAATTCTCATTATAATAAACTGAACTTGTGACATATCTCTAAAAATACTTGAATCAATTGTGAATGTCATTGAATTTTTTACTGTGTTTTATGATATGTGGGTCCCTCTAAATTGTGGAGGCTAAGGCAGGAAACTTTTTCGGTTTTCGAATTTATTTGAAAACACAAAGCTGCTTCTTCCATTGAGATCTAGTGTTCATTGGTAGCCTACGAACAAAACCCCCTAACATTCACTCTTAAATGTAGTCCCTTTTACTCCCCCAGAGAAATGCCTTTCTACATGGCTATGCTTTACACTCAAAATAAAAACAAATTGTATCCAAATACCATGAAGTTTATGGATTGTGGCACCTTGGGATGGAAACTATCTATTGAGAGGAGAAATTTGAATGACAGAAGCTCTTGGGGCAGAAAATGCAAGCTAATTAACTTGTCAAATTCTTATTGTTAGATAACATGAATACAGTAGGTTCTTGCATAAAAGATGATCATTTCCCAGGAGTGCTAATTGTCCATTTTTCTGGTCTCTGTGCCTTCTAGTTTGTGAGTCCAGAGAGACTCGCCATCACAGGTTGCACAAAGCAGATGACAAATGTTTGACAATATTAAAAAATCTTATTATTCTTAAGCTTAGACATTTATAGTCATTAATATGTATACTATTTACAAAACATGGCATTTATTCTTTATATTGGCAAATAAAAGAATATTGAACTTAAAAATGGACAGCAGTTTTCTATTATAAAGATACTCAATATAACCTCAGTAGTGTTCTAAAATATCATATACACTTTTCAGCTGTTCATTATAATTCATATCCTTCTTTAATTATAAGACATTCAAATATTTTAGGGGAAAAATAACTTGCAAACAAATAATCTTATGTGTAAAAAATTATTTTAGTTTAATTTAAATCTGTAATAAAAGTATGTTCCAGTTTTACACCTTTTGAATAAAAAGACATTTCAAAATATTAGATTAGTGAAAATCAGAACAGGTCAAGAATATGATGAAACATGAAAAAGAGGAGAAATCCAACATCAATATCTAAACAAAACACCTTGAACAACTAGGAAAAGGGCACCAATATACACCTTTCAACAGAAGAAGAAAATATATCATAAGTAATACTGCAGAAATAAATGAACTGAAAAACAGAAAAAAATGGGAAAAAATCAACAAAATAAGAAGTTACTCTTTGACAGGATTAACAAAATTGGCAAAATTAACAAGGGGAAGGAAAGAGAAG